CATTAGCCACATGACCCAAATATTGCTATCTGAATAGTCCATTCAAATAATGCTGGGCTCTGATTGGAAGGAACCATATCCCTGCCTAACACTACTCTCAGTATATCTTAGTGCAAAACTGCTCAGATATTCTTGGTGCAGGGTTGGTAATCTGTAGGCCTTCCCTTTGTCAGGTTATGCACAGTTAACCAAGCAGCTAATGGATTTGGCTGGGGGCCATGTGGTCATGGCACTTGAAGGAGGGTACAGTTTGCCATCCCTGTGTGATGCAGCCGAGGCGTGTGTGAAGGCTTTGTTAGGGGAAAAGGTAAAAAACTATGTGGTAAATAATTATCAGAATAGTTTGATTTAGCACCAAGGCTCCAATTTACTTTTTAAAAGTTTAGCTAGCCTGGGTAGCAGGATTGCATGGGTGAATGCTTTTGTTTTGGTGGCGAATCCAAGGGTGAATGTGAGTGGCGAAGCCGCGAGGCAATTTTGAAGAATTGTTCAAAATTTCTGAGAACTGGAGAGTATTGTGTTGTCTTCCGATGCGTTTTCACAATGAGAGTGCAAAGGACAGGTGAAGCTGCTATGTTCTGGCATTTTAACTATCTTTTTCATAATATCTTCGTCGCAGGTCCCTGAGCTTTCTAAGGAGAGTATCAAACGGGCTCCAAATCCAAATGCTGTTGCTGTCCTTGAGAAGACCATAACTATTCAAGGTATGTACCACGAACTGGTGTTGAGTCAAGAAACATCATGAAGCTAATCTAGGACTAGTATCAAACAAGCATAATATCTGAGAATTAAAAATGGCACTATCATACGAATTCACAAAGTTTGCCCGGATGTAATCCATTTTATTTTTCTCCCAATTTTCCCATCCACAGCCCCTTTTGACTCTTGTGTGTTTGTTTTGAGTTTTTCTGTAGTTCTTAACCACTACTGTGACCCTAAATTAGTTATATGTCTAGCATGACCTAGCCCCTTTAACATCTCTGTCATCAAAGTTCTTGATGCCTCTGTGTTGTGTTTTGGGCAGGACACTTCACTTTCTTAGTGTGGTACCAGTGAATTTAATGCTGGGGGGTAACTCTGCGATGGACTAGCATCCCATCCAGGGGGAAGTAGAAATACTCCTAGCTCCTTCATGATAAGAAAACCGGGATAAGCTGTCTGGGCCTGATCTGCAACTGTGCTCAAATGCAGTCTTAACCCAGTCACTAGACCTGGATTGGATCACTATATGTGGCTGTTGCTAATCGCAGGTGACATCTTCTGTCTTGCAGGTAGATACTGGAACAATGTAAAGCGGGCCGCCACACAGATCTGTCAGTCATTAGTACAAGCTCAGCAGCGAGAGAAAGAAGAGGCAGACACTGTGACTGCGCTGGCGTCGCTTTCTATGGGAGTTGTACAAGAATCTGACAAGTAAGTCAGATTTCAACATTCCCTGTGTTGTCCCTTGTTACAGATTTCAATAGAGAGGCTTTCCATTGAGTGTAGGAAAACCACGGCAAAACGAAAGTAATCACTCTCAAGATAATCCATTCCATGCCTGTCATGATAATATTGCCATGGAAACCTCAAGATCCTCAACAAATGACATGTCATCAAATTGTATGGTCAATCATAAAGGACACAGACATTCCAGTGAACCAATCAAAATACGAAACAAATACATGTAGCTGACACAAAGCACAGGGAATGTGTGCCAGTGAGTAATGATTGATTTGGGCTTTAACCTCTGATTGGAACCAATCGCTTAGCGCAGCAATGCAAAGCGAAGTCAAATGCAAATTTCTTTGGACGCTCAAGAAAAATCCACAATATATAGTAGAGTGGGAGTGTTTTAATAATTACCTCACCACATTGCAATGGATGGGTGAAATTATCCTGAGTACATGTTGAATGGTTAACAATAGTCATAGTGTATTGTGCTATATGTTGATCAGTGTGAAAATGTAGATCAGATCTTTGCAATGCTCTCTGTCTTAGAAAAAAATCTTGTCTTTTCTTTTGGATCTGCTTTGGCTCAAACCTGATGGGCGTCCTGTGTTTTGTACCAAGTAAAGGACTCCTGACACTTAAAATGGGGTTTGGGTGTGGGGCCATTCACCCGCAACAGCAGCATACTCTTGTGCCACAGGGAACCACAGTGCTTCACAGTGTTCAAATAATAAGTAATAATTAGTGTCCAGTCCTTACGACCTATTTCATTCTTTGATTGTAATTATTTTTTTCCACTCTAACTTGAAATTTTAGAAGTATCCACGATGAATCCATGGAAGAGGAACAAGTTGAGACATGAGAGATAAGAATAATTTTAGATAGAATAGCTTACAGCAGAATTTTGTTTCTGTGCATAAAGATTTACCTCAGAGACTCGTGCGAATTTAAGTGAAGTGTAGGTATAAATGTTAGGCGACTGCTGATCCAGACAGAGGAACATTTCGCCTTTTACTGCTGATAGTGGAGCCATCTTTATGGTTCCTCTAATCGATTCAGCTTCCAATTTAGTCAGAATTTACCATAAACACAGGCTTCATGTAGTTGGGTGTGTACTGTCCCGTCCAACTCTGGTACACACTGTGCAATGTGGTTAAAGGAGCTACGCCATGGAAGCCCTATCTTGGAAAATGTAGCCTGAATTTTTCAAGTTCGTTGTTTATAATTCGTCTCATTGTCGCCCAATATCAACCATCTGTTTTCCTTTTGGTTTAACGTTACTAGGTTCGATTAGCAGCCGCTGTTCGGGAAAGGAGCTCGCGCTCGTCCCCCCTCCCTCTCCCCCGACAGAGGAAGGTTGACCAGACTCGAGAGAGCAGCGGAAATCGAGCATATAACATTTTTCTGTTTGGTGTTTCTCTACATTGTTAGACTCGGTTGCTTTGAGCGTTCGTTCGTGACATGGCTCCGTCGAATTCGAGCTTTATTAGAATTAATCATAACTTAGCTTAAAGAGTTTTTATTATTCACAGTAGTCGCGAGTCATAGGTGTGCAGTGTGTCGGTAAACCTGCCTTGCTTCCAGGGAGTTTCTAGTCTGCGTTTTCACGCAATATTTCCACCCCAACCCCGGCATCTTTGTAATTATTGTATGTACATATATGTCTAAAGTGGCTGGGTTTTTAAAAACCTCAGTTACTAGAAGAGTTGTCATTTAAATTATGGCTTTTAAAATGCTACCCCTGCATAGCAAATATATAACAGGGAGGCACGAATATTCTGTAAATGCTATATATATAAAATATATAAAAAGAATACTAAACTTTTTAGCTCATGTAGAATGTCAAGGCTTGAAACAAGCCTTGGCAGCTGAGTGTCCAGTGAGGTCAGCCACTAAATAGTTAACCCCTGTGAACTGGGTCGAGCTAATTTCGTACCCAGGTCTGACTCTGTTTGACGCGTTTCCGCTCGGCCGTGGGAGATCTGGGCGTGAGATTACGGTCGAACATCGAGAAATGATTGGCTCAGAATTGGGTGGCAGTCGAGAGGGAGCTGTTGAAATGTCTAGTGCAGTATGAACATTGTTGTAGAATTCATTGCGACCGAACGAGACTTACTCTGCTTAGATTCATCAGATTCTCACAGGGTGCAGCTCTCACCGTGTCGTTTTCAAATGTGTGTTGGTGTGTCGTCTGAAAGACAGACCTGTTTAATTGGTGTGAAGCTCTGTTAGGTCTAAGGTGGCACTTCATTTTCATTTGTTTCTCTTCGTACTATTTTGTCAAAGAGAGAATGAAGCTACAAGAGAGCAAAAAATCCTCATACATCAGGCCGACAGCCAAAACGCGTTGTTGGCCAGGAAGAGCCCATCCCCTCAGTTCATATTCAATCGACTTATCTATTCAGTCTGAAAGCAGGACAGACCCCATGCCACGAGGTAATCTCGTGACAAAGTTTAAAATAGAAACGAAAATGAATTCTGTAGGATCGCAAAAAGACTCTCCTTGCATCATACTCTCTTCATCAATATTGTCATGCTATTTTCATCGCATTTCCATTACGTTTGAACTAAAGTTATCTGTTGCTTAACAGCAGTAGAAAATTTCCTGATTGGCACTTCTAAAGCGCCAGTGAAGAAAAATGGTTTTATTTTATTTTTTTATTCTTTGTTTTGAAGCGCAAGGGTTTTTTCCTTGGGATTTTAACAGATGTTGAACCAGTGTTTTCATCTCAAGAAATTAGAGGTTTGTTGAAACTTCCGAGGGTTTCAACTTGTTATCAGCTATGATCCCGTGTCGACACTCTCTATAAGGGTGCCGGATGGCAGAAAAACGCCTCTATACTAATTCACATCTCAAAAAGAAGAATAGAACACATTGCTTCATGCGTCGTTCTTTAAAGCACTGAATCAATTTTTCGCAATCCCGCGCCTCGCTTCGATGGATTCATTCAGACTCCTGCGTGCATTCTGCAGGAAAACAAAGCACCTTGGTTCGACACCTGATGTGGTGAGCTTTCCTCTTTAGAGCATTTCTAAACGTAAAACAGTGTGTCTTAAGGACGTTCGCGCGATAATCGTCTAACATTGAGGTAATTCAAACTTTTAACGCGGCTAGGTAGTGAGTTACTTGAGTCAGAAGTGCAGCGAAGAATGTGTGTCAGCGACTCCGTTTCAGAGGTAAAGCGTGTGAAAAATACTTTAGAAATTCAACATGGTCTCCAGGGTTTTTAGCTGAAAACGCTGTGTAGAAGTGGCTTCATAACGTTTCCAGTTCCAAATGTTGCCATCCTTTTTCTAAAACTAACCCTTAAAAGAGCATTTGAAGCCATCGTGCACTTTAAACGAAGTGCTCAAAAGAGCATAATTCAATATTGGTTGGGCTAAAAATGTCAATCTTTCGATAGATTATTTCATTTTTTCGCACAACATAGGAAAACGATGGGTCACCTACGCGCAGGATGGCCTAATCCACGCAATAGTTTTATCACTTATCGCGTGCTCGATGCATGACGTGTGAATTGCGGGGTGCGCATTAAGAATGCGCACAAACAAACAGCGCGAACGTCCTTGAAATGCGCACCGAGAAAGAAAATAGGACCTGGAAGTAATGTCCAAATTTTTCGGTTTCTTTACGAGTCTTTTAACCTTGTCTTGCTTCTGAGTGGACTCTCAATCTTTGGAAGAATTTCATTCTAGATATAAATGCGATGACTTTCAACGACTAGCGTCACAAGCGAATGTATTTTCAAATTTGAAAAAGAAAACAACAAATGTTAATAAATTCTCTATACGTAATTGTGTGTGTCAGTTCTTTTCGTGTATGTTCTTTCCTACACGCCAGGGTACTTGTTTGGGAAGTTTTCGGCTTTGTCGTTTTGTGTCACTCTCCCCTCTTCCCTGCGAAAGCGTCCGTTTTCGTTCCTTAAGCCCATCATCTCTGTAAGACGGCAGGCTTAGCACGAAACTTGTTTCTTTCCATGGGACTGCCCCCCAAGGGAAAACGGAAGTCTTCTTCGACCTGTGTCGGGGAGAGGGTTGGGGTGAGGGCGGAAAGACGAGAGACCCTGGTAACAAGGCCGACGATGAATGAGCCAAGATGCATTAATAGTTTGAGTGCCTTCTGGCGTGTTATCATTACCACAGTCTGGCAGCGTTGGAATGGTATTACACTGACTATGAAGGGAGTCTGTTTACAGCCCAGGGGTAATTTGCGATTTTCTCAGCTTTTGAGGATCTTGCGGATGGATTTAACTGATAGCTGAGAATCGTGACAATTTTTAACTGTCAGCTTAGAAAGGACGCATTTTTGTGTGGCTTACACGAAGTGTGTAGCCACACTATGTCATGATCCGATTTATTTATTTGTTAACTAATGGCTGAGATTTGAGATCTGCAAAATATACTTACAGCTAAAAGAGAGCTGAAATTTTAACTGATAGCTGAGAAAACGTCGAAAATTAAACTGATGACGGAGATTCCAGCATCTTCGCACCCACCCCTTCCCCTTCCACCCTCTTATAATAATCCTTTGTCTTTGGAACCTCATTGCCATCAACTTCATTCCCAGAACTTTACCCTCGAAAAGTTGGAGTGGAAGAGCCCTGGGAACTAGGCTGCATTGCTCTGCCTTCGACCAATTGTATAGAACGAGCAACTTGGTAGACCTTCCCTCGAGGACATCATATTTCTGAACTGTTCTCACACAAAAATATAAACATGCCGTGAAAACCTTCCGCAAGAGACAAATAATTTTTTAAATACCATAACGGTAAGTTTTCGATAGACAAGGATTTTGGAAGCCAGCAAGGAAGTCTTCCAGTCCCCATTTTTCGGACGATTAAGGGATTAAAAGGACTGTAAAAACTAAAAGAGAAAACGAGATTCTTTATGGGCCATGGTAACCATTGGTGGGTACTCCCTGACACTGAAATATCTGATAAGGGCCCCACTTGTATCATGAGTCCATGACCTCGCCCGCGGGCTCTCCTGCAGTTCAAAGCCGCTGGGGGAAAGGTGACGTTTTGTGGCAAAAACTTATCGCGAACAGTCCTTTAGCAACTTCGGGACGAAAATAGAGTGTTTTCACATGACGTCACGGTGTGCCAAAACAATGAAACGGCGAACATGTTGGTGAATCAAACCAATCCTGTGGGAGTTTAGCTCTTTTCTTATCTTTTCTTATCTTTTCCAAGAAGTTTGCAGGTGTGCTGGCCACGGGAGTGAAAAGCTCTATTGCGGGTCTTGGGTTCTAACTCGCTGATTTGTCATCGAGTGCTTTTAACTATGAAGAAATATTACATGTAAGAGTTGATGTCCGAGGTGATCAATCCAAACCACAAACACAGTATAGCGGTGTTTTTGTTTGTTTGTTACAAATTCTCGCCTGCGCCCCAAAAGAACCTTGAGGTCCCGACTACACTAATGCGCTTTCAAAAGTATGCGTTTTCGTCTTAACGAAAACACTGAAAGCAAAATAATTTCGCTCACACTAGCGTTTACGGTTTGTTTTCACCTCAGCCACACTAAGCGTTTTCGTATGAAAACGCATACCTTTGGTGCTTTTTCGCCGATCCTCCACACTAAAACAACCGAAAATGCTGATGAAAACGGAGGCTTTTGAATTTCGAAAACACATCGTTTAGGTGAAAACCAAGGCTTTTGAAAACGGTCCCGAACAAAAAACGTCATATACTGTCATTTCCTTCCGCGTTTTCGGCCGTTTTAGTGTGGACGATAGGCGAAAACGGATCAAAAAGTATGCGCTTTCAATGAAAACGAATTAGTGTGGACAGGTGAAAACAAAACGAAAACGCTAGTATGGGCGAAAATATTTTGCTTTGTTTTCGTCGAGATGAAAACGGATATTTAAAAACGCGTTAGTGTGGTCCGGGCCTAATACGCTCGAAAACGTTGATGGAAACGACGACAGCATATGACGTTTTTTCGGCACCGTTTTCAAATGGTTCCGTTTTCATCTATCTACTCTAGAAACAGAGCGTTTTCAAAAGGCT